CAACATAGTTTCAGAAACTGGCACGTCGAAGACAATCAAGAAACATTTATGTGGAATGAATTCAATGACAAGAATCTCTACATTCTATGCATCTGCAAAATAAAATGGGAATATTATTGTTTCTTTAACCATTTCTGCTTTGCTGGTTCTTCAAGTTGCATTGTATTTTGTAGTATTTTAAACACTGTTGTGATGATGAATATCTTTATAGGATTTCACCATAGTTTAGATTCCCAATAGAAGAATTAATGGGTCAAAGAATTGGAACATTTTTATGGCTTTAATATAATTTTGGAATTCCTTCTGGAAAGGATACAGAATTTCACTGGCAAAGTGTGGGAGGATGAGTTTTACTACTTGCCTGTGAAAACCAGCTATTAATTTTTTTTCAACTGTGTAGATAACTTAGGAGAACAATGGAATGTTATTTAATATTTGTATTATATTACAAATTTGAATGCCTTTAATTTTGTTCACTGAACATTTTCTCTGTTTAATTAAATGCTGTGTCTATTTTCTTTTGGCCATCCATCAAGGAATGAACTGGTATGGCCCCTGTTCTCTGTATGAGAACCTTTTCCAGACACTTACAAAAACTTGGGTACCATAATTTGTGCGCCAGTTTGATTCCTTTCATTTTGAATACTTCTCAAAAGAATCACAGGAACCTTGAAAACTGGAGTTTGGGGAATATTTCAATTGGTCAGGAATCTCTCTATTAAATCAACTTATAATGACCAGGAGGCTCTCGGAAAGATTATTTACATGTGTGCTGATAAATATCTTTGGAGATTTTCACACTGGAGGAATTAGTGATTTATTTTGCTCAGAGGCAGGCCAGTTTTATGAGCCAATAAATAATAGGCTAAATAAGTCAGAGTCAGGGACCAGGCTACACAGAGAAATCCGACACCTACAAAAAGTTTCAGTGGTAATGGAATTAAAAGCTGTCACCAAATCCTGTTATCTGTTGGTTGGAAAAGTGCTCAACAAAACACTGATAGCCCAGAAGATAGAGAATTGAATGAAGGCCAAAAAAAAAAAAAAAAAAAGCCCTTTGAGTGAATGGCAGATTTAAGACAATAACTGAGTGATAAAATAAAATGTTCCCCAGAAACCCAAGTCTAAATAAAATTGCTTCTGTAAGTGCTTTGGGGATACAGGTTCATCTAACTTCTTTACGTTCCTAAGGCTCAAGGATGTTTGGTTTGGGGAGTGGACACATTGGGGATGTGTAGATAATATGACAACTCGTGATGGGGTGCAAGGTAGAATGGGATTTGTGTGTCCAATCTAGGTTGTTATGATTGTGTAAATATTTATAAATGAACTCTAAAACAAAGCATTCTCTTATTGTTCTATACTCACTGCTTACATACTCAGAGTAAAAGAGAGATTCCAAGAATACCCATGAAGATATTTTAGATGGAGAGGTCAAAAAAAAAAAAATCTCAATGATAAGCTAAGATATATTTGGTGAGCTAAATGTTTACCTCTTCCTTCCTTTCTATTTGGCTGGGTGATGCTTGATAAGAGAAAAGCTACTTATCTTAAAAATGCTCATTAACATAGAGAGAACTAAATGTTAAATGCAGATAAACCAATAACCACATTCTATAAATAATTCCAAAGGGAGTTTTCTTTCTGTCTCCTGTCCGAGATCATAACTGAGTGGAGGAAGTAAAGCACAATGGTTAAGAACACGGACTGGATCTAGAGAGCCTGGTTCCAACCCAGGTCACTGCCTTTCTGAGTTATATGATTTGGGTTGTGTCATTAAACTCTATATGCATCGGTTTCCTCATCTAAAAAATGGGGCTGATAATGATAACAGCTATCTCACAGTGCAGTTGTAAAAATGGATTTAAGGATGGGAAAAATACTTGAGAATGGTGTGCGCAACACAGCACCATGCATTTTCTATTATGAGGTTATGATCACCTTGAGAGTCCTAACTTTATAACTATTTCCCAGTATCCGACATCCCTTGAGCACACAGTAGGTGATTAATAAACAATTGCTGAATGAACATTTGACTATAAATGATTTTCTCCTAGGATTCTCTCTTCTTTACCCCCCACTATAGTCCTTTAAAGGACAACATTTTTCTCGTGTCTCCAAAGCATGACTTAATTCAACACAGGACTGACAGACCCAGTTCCAAGGTGCAAGAGCTTGTACACGGGGACACATCAGCAGAATGAATAATGACAGAGTATGAACAGTATTAGTCAAAAGCTAGCAGGGAGAACTACTGGAGACAAGCAAGAGTCTTAACATAAATCCAAATGCTTTGAATTTTGTGCAAGTATTATTTGCTGGGCATAGCCCTGGCCTGCCCTTCTCTTCTTGGCCGATAAGACCATGACGATTACACCATCTGGGAAGAGTCAAGATTATGTAGTGATTCTGATCTCATCCCTGATTACTCCTTTATTCACATGGGGCTTGGGGAGTGGGTGGGAATGTTTCAGGGGAAGATTTTCAAATGACACAGATTCACTAATAAAATGCCCAGAAGTTGATTTAGCCTACTTAATCTCCACAACATCTGAAACAAGACAATATCTGTAATGACTTCTTATCCTGCAAAATCCCAGAGGCGTTAAAATTTTCTTTTTTTAATCCATGTACTTAGAAGTCATATCACTCACCATAGGAATGCAGTTTTTGTTTCTGGAGTTAAAGAGAGCAATGTTTTAAATAGGTACCGCAAGATGATAGGATGACTAGACACACAGATCACATCTTTGAAATGGAGACAGACAGCCTCTGCAGGGACTGGCATCCTCATTTCCTCCTTGGACAACAACGGGGTAAATAAGAGGACAGGCAATAGAACAAGTGAATTATTCAGTGAACAAACGATGCTAGAGATGGTCCTCACTCATCTTCTTGTGTAAAATAGCTACTCTTCACGAATCCTTTAGTTCAAATGGAGCAGCAAGTTGAACATCCCTAATTGGAAAATCTGAGAAATTGAAAATACTCCAAAATCTGAAATTTTCGAGCACATTTTGACCTCATGTAACAGTTTACAATCTAAATGCAGGTACACTAAAAATATTTTATGAAATTACATTCAGGCTATGTGTACAAGGTATATACAAACCATAAATAAATTTTGTGTGTAGTCTTGAAAGAGTCCCAAGACATAGTATTTTACACACACACACACACGTATCCCCATATCTGAAAAATACCCCAAATCAAAACACTTGTGGTCCCAAACATTTTGGGTAAAGGATACTCAACATTATGACCACCCACTCAGCCCTCCAAGCAGGGAACGGTTCCTGCAGTTCCCCCCCTTTACCCTGTACATGCATTTGATGATCAGTGCCTGCCATATTTACCTTCCTTTTTATTTTCAAATTCAGCCCTGTACCCCAGTTACTACTGTGTACCCCAAATTATCATCCTTTCTCTCCTGTACGTCAACAAACATTCTTTTAGTTCAAGGGTTTTTAGGCAGACATCACAATCCCATGGGGAGTTTAAACATGACCAGTGCCTGGACCCCATGCTCCCAAGAGATATGGTTTGATGGAGGCTGAGGAGAGGCCCAGGCGTTGATATTTTTTAAAGCTCCCCTCATGACTTCTGTAGGGTCAGACTTGGGAATGGGTCTTGTGGGTCAACTTTCTGTCTTGCCCCTACCATGGCCAGACCCTAGAGAAGAAACAGAAATCCTGTGAGGTGAATTTTTTCAAACGAATCTCCCAGGGGCAGGGATTTGGTCTGGTCTTGACCCAGGTATTCTCATACACTGTTGGTGGGACTGCAAATTGGTGCAACCACTATGGAAAGCAGTATGGAGATTCCTCAGAAAACTTGGAATGGAACCGCCATTTGACTCAGTTATCCCACTCCTCCATCTACACCCAAAGGATTTAAAATCAGCATATTAGAGTGACACAGCCACATCAATGGTTTATTGCTATAAACATTGTTCAATTCACAGTAGCCAAGCTATGGAACCAACCTAAGTATCCTTCAACAGATGACTAGATAAAGAAAATGTGGCACACACACACACACACACACACATAGGAATATTACTCAGCCATAAAGAATGAAATCATGGCATTTGCCAGCAAATGGATGGAACTGGAGAATATCCTGATATCATGTTAGTTGAAACAAGCCAGTGCCCCAAAACCCAAGGCTAACTATTCTCTCTGATATGTGGATGCTGATTGGAGAGGGGAAGAATAGAAATCCACTGGATTAGACAAAGGGGAATGAATGGAAGGGGGATGGGAATTCAAAGGACAGTAGAATTAACTGGACATAGCTTTCCTATACTTGCATTTGAATTCATGGCCAGTGTAACTTAGCATCATGTGCAACCACAAGCATAGGATTCTAATTAGAATAAGTTACATTCCATGTATGTATAGTATGTCAAAATATATTCTATTGTCATGTATATCTAAAAAGAACAAATAGAATAAATTTTTAAAAAACAAAGCAGGAACAGAGAGCTTTTCCTAAAATGTCCATCTGGACCCCTTCAATGACTGATCACAGTCTAGAAAGTGAAATCCAAATTATTTGATGTCCTTTCACTTTTCTAGTCCTGTCCTACCAATCTCTGCCTCAGATCTTTCACTCTGGCTCCCCTTTCCCCTCCACCTGAACGTGCCATTTCCTATTGGTGCTCATCATGCAGACCCTCATCTTTCACCTGGGGAATCCATTCATCCTCAAAGTATCAGCTCCTGCATCACTTTTCTAAGAAATATTTCTTGCTTGGGTTAAACACCTCTGTGCATGGACTGCCCTGTGACCATCTCCCCAAGCATATTTATAATTTGTGGTAAGTATGTTAAAAATGGGTACACATATGCACCTGGACCCCCGCTTGCTTATGAGTCATGTTTCTAAAAGCATTACGGTTTATAACTTGTTTCCTTTTATTTACTACAACTGGCTCCCTTTACTCACAAGGGTGTCCTAGTGTAGGTGATAAATTGATAAATTGGCGGTCACCCTACCTGTGAGGTGACTGTCATCTTCTGTTGTAATCTCAATGCCCCGTCCGTTTCCTAAAACTTGGGGTATGTTTTATGTGCTCCAAAAGTGCATGAAGGAAGATATGAAGTGTGTGCCTGCAAAACCATCCTGTCACCTTCAGAAGCATATGGCAACTGTTCAGAAGGTCTGTGTAAAATCAAAACAAAGAAACAAATTGGCTCACACCTATTTCTTAAAAACGTGATTTTAGAGAGTAAACTAAAATCTTCTTTCTCAGTTGAATATCACTTTTTATACATTTGTGAGTTCCTTGTGGCTCCTAGGGACATTAGAGAAGTTCCATTCAGTCAATCAGGTGAGTGAGGACCAAAATACAGATGATTCCTTGGAACAGCCCCAGCCACTGGCTCTTCTCCAAGGGCAGCTGGGATTTCTGTGGCTCAGAACTTGGGCTCTGGTGTCAGAATGTCTGCAATTGTTTTCTGTTTCTGCCCATGGAAGACATATGACTATGACTTTAACTTCTCCAGGCCTGCCTTGCCATGGGTCCTGCCTTAAACAAGGGTGCTTACCTTGTATAGTTCTTTTGAGAATTAAATAATAAACTGTGCGAGTGTTTAGCCTGGTGCCTGTGCTAGAGAAAACTTGGAACAAAGAGTAGCCCTTATTATTTTATCTACTTTTATTTGTTGGAATTACAAATACTATTTCATTTGAGAAAGAGAATCACCTCCATTTAAAAAATACTTTGGAAAAAAAAAATCACTGTTCTAGAATGTTGTGCTTGTAAAGATTCCAACCCAGTTCTCCCCTGGGATCTTTGTAACCTGAGTTGCTAATGGAGCCAGTGTTATTTCTTTACTCAGAAGTTCAGAGACTGAAGCCCACACCTTGCCTGTTCTCTAGTACCCGTCAGTGGAAAAGAAAATACCAACCCGGGGCTCAGATTTCGGTGGGAGCCACAGGTGAGGTTGGGTGCCAGCTTTTGGCAGTATGGCACTAAAAGAAGTGAATGCTCTTGCCAGGATTGGGGATATTACCGCAGCATGCCTATTGCAAATATTTACTTTTTTAGTTGAAACACCAGGGGACACTAGGGTTTCTGTTTGAACAGTGCTTTGAGGTAGGATTCATTGAAATGACATGGAACACTTTGCATAAATAAATTCTTTAATGATTATACATGTAACATATCATATCATCAAACTGAAAAATAAAGCTTGGGAAGACAAAATAATTCCAGTTATTTATGCATAACTCTAGTTCCCTAAACAGACCCAGGATAACTTGCACAAAGTATAAGAGAAGCTCTTTTGGCAAAACCGACGTATTGACTAAGGTTGAAAAAGAAGTATAATTTGGAAGATACAAGCTTGGGGCTATAGCCAGTGCCTTTGTAGTCAAACAGACTTAGATTTGAGAAAACATTAAAACATCTGAAATATGAAATAGATGCAATAAATCTCACCTCTAATTAGAATGATAATAATAATAGTTATTACTAATATCATTGTTTTCTAGGGATATTTGACATCATTCCACCAAAAAAAGATGACAGAGTTCTATTTTCTTCTATTCTATTTTTATTGCTACTCTTATTTACAATTTTAAGTCAGCCCAAAAATATTCATCTGACTTAAAACCTGGCTTCAATAATTCCAATTTTTCTCTGCAGAGTTAGCAGATCAACACAGAAGTATGGAAATGAAATTGAGGTGTCTGCATTTTCATGACCAGGAGGCATGATAACATGTCCTAAAACTGTTTGATCTTGTTACCATTTCTGCTGAATACTTTGAGTCATGCAAGGATATAGAATGCCTTTTATTCAAAAGCTTCCAAAAGAGAGATTGCATCGGCAGAAATTCAGAGCAACTGCTGAAAGGCAATATTAATCCTGATCCTGGGATATTACACTAAATATTTGACAGGAATCCAAATTTTCCTGTAGCTTTCCACTAAGAAGATAATCTTTCATAATTTTAACTGTGAAAGGGGAGGATTTGATCTTTTGAAATGGAAAGGGTGAGTCTAATTGAATTTCCTTCTTTGGTTTCTTATTAAAGATGGGACCAGATTGAATCATATTCAATTAATGATTGTACTTGGATATATTGCTCTTTTCAGAAGCTGAAAATAAGATTAACAAAGCTCAAAAAAAGATGTAGGGGGCAATGGTGCCAATTCAACACTTACAGGGCTCGGCATACACAGGAACAAAGACTGGTTTCAATGCCATTTATTTATATGAGCCTTGAGCAGCCAGGCCATTGTTCCTGACTAATGAGAATGGAGAAGAAAATTGTGTGATAGTGAACATCGTCCACGGAGGAAAAACAAATGTGCAAAGGCTGCAAATAATAATCAGGACATCCCACCAAGACCTGCCCCCTCTCCTGGCTACACAGCAATTAAATTATACCAAGTCCTTGTCATTGTCGCCGGGGCACACCTGTAATGTACCCATCCAGCCTACCTGCTGCTTGTCCACCAACATGGCTTAGCCTCAGGAATGTCTTCTCCATAAGGCTTTAGTAGCTTGAGTAACCATGAACCACATTTTATAGACTAATAATTATGCCATGTGATCTGACAAGTAAATTAGCACAGTTAGCCCAAATATTTTTAAACCAGGACTGTCCAGGAGTACAGTTGCTATGTAATTGCTATCTCCATAAAAATTTATTTTGTAAGCTCTTCCAGGAGTATCATTTTTTTTTCTTACACGTTAAACACTAGACTTTTACCACAACATACCTTCATATTATTTGCTAATTGCCTCATATCTCTGTTGGCTTGTCGTCTCCCTGGTGATGGGGTAAGGACTTCCAGGCAAACTGACAAGACTTCATTTCTTCAGTGTTCACACAATACCAAACACACAGTGGGAGCTCAATTAGCACTTCTCCAGGTGAGTTGGGGTGTCCGTCAGGGAAGGTGGCACAAGTTTGGAAGGCACATCTGGAATTTGCATTCTAGCTCTGACCCTTGACCCTGTATAAGCCTGAGCAAGTTTCTGCATTTACAGTATGGGTATAATAATACATAAAATAAATAGAATGCAATTTTATTATATGACTTTTTTTTTTTTTTGCAGTGCTTGGTTTGCAGTAAGAACTCTATCCATAGTCATTTCCTTGTTGAATAAAAATGCTGGCTTATCAACAGTTTTAGAATAGGAGAGGCAGTAGAGTGGAGTGCTAGTTCATGAACTTGGACTCTGAACAAGACTGAATAAGCTCAAACACCATCTAAGCCTGCTGGCTGTTGGACTTGGGACAAGTCACTGTGTTTGCTTCAGTGTCTTCATCTGCGAAATGTGGATACAAATGGGACCCACCCCGAAGGTGGTGAGGGTTTAGTGGGTTCATACATACAAATCCCTTATGACAGCCTGATACAGACCAAGGTTCAGCTTCAGTATTATTCAGGAAGGGTCTTCTTGAGACACACAAATTAACTTGGTCAGTCTTAAATGTCTTTTAAAACTCTCGACCTATAATTCTGAGAAGAAAACTTACACTCTTGTCTTTAAATCTATATAAGGATTGCATTGAGATCATGTCTACCCTCTACACGAACACACACACACACACACACACACAGTTGTGCAGATCTAACTTCTTTCCTACTTCTATCACAATTCATGTCTCAGTTGCAGGATCTGAAAAGCCCAACTAATTTATGATCTTCCATGAACATCAAGGATGCAAGACTATAGAGAGCCAAAACCACACCCTATACTCAGTTTGAAAGATGATATATTAGAACATAAATCTTCTCTAGAGAAGGCGTGAATGTGGAGCCACAAACGACTTGCCTAAAATGGAGGTTTGAGGAGGATGAGGTCTGCACTCTGGGTCTTGCTAGATCTGAACTACCAGGGTATCTTCCAATGAAGTTCATCTTTGTCTAAATATTAGGACACTTGCAAAAGATGGCCTGTGTCAGCCCAGCATGCTTTATTCAACTGGAAGCCTTTGCATGATTGGAATAGAAAATATTTGCCAAGGAAGTCTAATTGCAGAGTGCCATCCTCCCCCCTACCAACTTCGAATTTGAGAGTTGGCAAAAAAATTTGGGTATTCCAAGGATGAGCAAAGCATGAGCTCAGCACCAGGATGAAAAAATAAACTAAGGCAATAAACTCATTTTGTGGCCTACTCACTACTTAAATTCTTTGCAATAGACCCAGACCTCCTCTAGCAATTACCATTCCCCTCTGGTTGCGCTCTGCTGGCCCCACTGCCTCTTCTTGTCACCAGTCCTTTTAAATGTGGTCTTTACAGTAATTCCAGTTGCTTTAGGCACTTCCCAAGTGAACTCAGGGGGAAATTAATATAATAGCAAAGATTTTTATTTGTGTATTTATAGAGTCCTCCCTGCATCAATTTTGTTCTTTTGGTCTCTCTACCATAAAAATTCTCTACCAGGTATCTCTCCTTTGTGTTTGTTTTGCTTCATTTGAATTAAAATTTGTTTAGTGGTGCATTGTAATTATACATAATGGTGGGATTCATTGTAACATATTTGCATATGTTACACAATATGATAATCTACCTTCTCTTACCCCCAAATACAATTCAACTGCCCTTCAAGTTGAGGAGACTTTGAAAAGCAGGCCCACACTGCTTTCAGGATGGAGCAAAATGTAACAACAAAAAAGACTCACCACAGGACACAGACAGGATGCAGTTCCACAGCAAAACCAAAGTTGAGTGTGGGGGAAGGCAAATTGCCAGAGGGCAACCTGCCGATCCTGGCAGGAACATCAGGTAGATGTCAAGTGAAACCTGCCTTCCCTGGTAGAGGCAGCAGACACAAAGGATGCTATTCTGACATTCTGAAAGTGCAGGCATTGTCTCACACCTGAGCTCTGTTCAGTGAGAGAGAAGGAGTTAGGTACCCAAACTGAGACAGGAAGGAAGGGAGGGAGGCACGGAGGAAATAAAATGAAAAGAGTTGCAACAGGGCTGAATTAATATGATGCTAGGTAGAGTTATACAAATAGGAGGGGCTTATAACAAAGATAGCCCTCTCCAGGGAAGACTTCCCTCACCCTGTGACATCTATGAAAAACACCCCACTAGGGGTCATTGGTGAGATCTGGCCTTCCCTCTGATAGTTGCAAGCTGCCTGTCAGCTGCCCTCTGATGAACTCACTGTCTGCACTAGTTGCTTTCAACTAAGGAAGATTTTGCTCCTCACTGGGGCATGTGGCAATGGCTAGACATAGGTAATTATTATATTAGGAAGGTGCTATTGATATGTAGGGGGCAGAGGGCATCCGTGCTGCTAAATATCTTACAAAGCCCAAGGTAGCCTCACAGTGAAGTGTGTCTGGGTCGAAAATCTCTGGTATACTCTAATGCTATCTAGCCCCCGAATCCTCATTTCCATTCTCTGAGTCTCTGTCTTGACTCTCTGCCCCACTTTATAAATATCTTCAGGACCCTGACCACATCTGACACCTTATTCTGTGGCCCGCTGTTCTGCCACAGAGCTCTGCATACAGCAGGGAGAGGAAAGCAAAGGCTGCTCCCCTGGGAGCAAGAGAAATTCTCCTCTTGGCAGAAATTCTTCTTAGACTTTGCAGGACACAGAGTGGCATGGCAGAAGCATTGTCCCCATCAAAACAAAGGACAAGAGGTGAGCTGCTCTCATGATTAAGATGGGCCAGGGAATAACCTGGCTGAAACAAAGAGGTGAAGACCAGATAGCCATATCACATCCAGGAAAGTCAACAGGAAAACATGGGCATTTCACTGTTTAAATGATGCTTTTAAACATAAATTAGGGGAAAGTCCAAATGAAATATGAAACAGGTAAAAATTGATCTGACTGCCTCTTGGTGCTGCACTGAGTCTCTGCTAGTCTTTCACCTGGAATTGGTTTCAGATGCACCTGTGCTTGTTTGGGGCTTTTGTGGAGCAGAAATACCAGGGACAGCGTGTTCTCCCTCCCACCTCCCTTTTTTCTTCCCCTCCTATTATCTTTCTCTTCCCCCTCTCTGTCTCCACTTTCCATCTCTTCTATATCTTTCTCTCTAGCCTAATTGACTCAGGAAAAAAACAAAAAACATATCACTTGCTCAGTGGAAGCTGTGTGCTGAGAGCCATAGCCAAGTAGGAATGATGCATGGCATTTTTGGTTGAAAGGTGACACCAGCAAGCCATTGAGATGATATGATTATGCTAAGATCTGCATTCAAATGGATATTAGACCCCTGCTGTCCGCCTCAGCCTGCTACTTTGGAGCTCTAGCGGGACTCCCGGAGAGTTCCCATTGGTTGGGGAAGTGCGGTAGGAGGGATTTCCGGAGGAGGGATTTGTCTGTTGGTGTAGTGTGGCCCGGGAGAACACCCGCATGTGTGGTTCGGTATATTTCCCGGGAGAGTGCATGGAATTGGCGGGAGTTTCAAAAATAAAGTTTGTTCCTGCTTGAATGGCTCGTGATTTTGTGCCCAGCCAAGACTGCAGCAGCTGTGTGTGGGCATCACCTTGCCCCAAAGCCCTCCAAGGTCACCCTGGTCCCCCATCTGTATGTTGTCAGACCTTACTTCCTCATAAGCCACGCTTTCCAAGCTGTTGTCCCACGGGGCTGAGGGCCAGCTCCTTAGGACTGTCACCACCATCCCTTCTCCAGCACCTAGCAAGTGCTAGACATATGCTCAATAAGCCTTTGAAGAACTATCTAAAGAGGAGATTTGTGACCATCTGAGATGGAGACGAACCATGGCTAAAGAACCCAATTTCCAAGAAGGTAGCATGGATGATATCTGAGGTAGGAGATTCACTTGGGGGCCCAACAAGTCCTCTCTGGGGTCTGAAGGCTAGTCTACCTGGGAAGAAGAAGCAGCCAGAAATTCCTACCCCATCACTCTTCCCTGTCTCCTGTGGGTGGATTTCAGAGTACTCGTTTTAAATGAAGATAAAAGGCACTTGAGACTTCTTCCAGATGTTAATTTTTGAGTGACATGAATGGCTCAAAGTCTCAACACACATTCATCAAGATGTTTTTCTCTTTCTACCTGTTTTTCCTAATGGCAAACAAAACAAAACTGTAAGTGAGTCAGGTCTAGGGTTTTGTCAAGCCCGTCTCCTCAAGGATTCATATTGACAGGACTGTCACAGCCTTCAAATGTTCTCTCTTGTTCTGGCCCTGCCCTGCCTGGCTGGGGCCAATGAGAATCTCACAATCTCTGACAGCAGAGCCTAGGAAGAGACTTCCACCTTCCTGGGTCCTCCTTTTTCTTGGCTCAATGCTGGCTCTTGCTCTAAATGGTTCTCTTCTTGTCTGTACTTCACTGAAAGCAAACAATGTACTCCTCAGGTGATCGCCACCGGCTGCTCGGCAGGATCCTATGAACTTCCACACAGATGATCTGGCCTTGGCAATGCCCTCAGTTTCAGCTGCAGTTTCAACCCATCCCCAGGAACCTTACCTGCTTCACTGCAGTGCCCCTCCCTGGGGCTGGCCCTCCTCCCTTGCCCTCTGTCCCTTTCTGGCTGACTTCTGGACTCCACTTCCTGGAGCTTCCTGAAACCTCTGAGCTGAATGCAGTCCTCTCTTGGCATGGTTCACCTTGCATGTGACCCTGAGGCTGCTGGAGCCCTAGCTGGTGCACGCCCTGGAGAGGTGTACTCTGCCTGTGAGTTTCAAATTTAAAGTGGCTTCCATCAGTGGTAGTCCCAGCTTACCCCAAACCTCCTGCTTTCTGCTTCAAACCTGCTTTTACTTTTTCTTTCTCCTGTGTCAGAGCTGTTTTCTGTGCTGGAAGAGGGGAGGTGAGGATAAACCAAGGGACCTGTTTAGTCTACTTGCATTCTCCTGGAGATCTGATCTTTTTTAGTGACTTCTGAACCTAGAATTGAAGATTTGGGCAGGCTTATCCATGGATATGTTTCAGATAGTTTCACACCCCTGCCCAGGTCAACTGGCTGCTCTTAATTGCGTAAAAGATTATTAATCAATTCACAATAAAAACTTAGCAAATGTAGGACTTTGTGATATTCCAATTCATACTAGCAACATAAATGTTTTTTTTTTTTTAATGTCTTGATTTTGTTCACTCTACTTCATGGTCTAGAATGTTCCCATTCTCGTGATTGGCCTATCTGAACCTTTTAAATTAAATTGGTAGCTGTCCAGACCCTCTGATGGTTTGTGACATCACTCAGATGAGGAAAGAACAAAGGAAAGAAGGAAAAACTGATGTCCTTAAGTTTGGGAACTACGATTTAGAGAAAGACCCACAGCATCTTCAAGCAGTTTAAGCACAATAGAACTGCTAACATGGGGCCCTAAAACTCTGCAAGACCAACATGAAAAAGGTTTTTGTTTATTTGTTTCATTTTCTTTCAAGATGCACACATCCCTTGGCATTGTTAGAAAATACCTTGTGGTCTAGGAGAGGGAAGCTGAGACTTTGGTCATGCATCTCTCTCTTTCCTATTTAGCAAGAGGATAATGAACCCTGCCCTTTTTATCCCAGCGGGGTGTTAAAGGGATCAAGTGAGATAAGGAATGTGAGACTCCAATCTAAGATCAGGAGGTTCCCAGAGGCCTCTCTGTGGGTGTTATCTTCGGGGATTTGCCAGGGTGCTGTGCCTGCCTTCTTTGCACTCTGATCTGGGCTTTTCCACTTTATTGACTGAAGCAGAACCGGAGTCAGACCTCTCCCTGAATTAGATTGCCATTGCCAGCACCTCTGAACCCAGGGCTTACACCTGGGGCCAGGCACAGCTTTGCTCCTGATGGAATCCATCTGTTCTCCAAATGCTCCCTCGGTGGCCCACTTTCGCCTCTTCCTCATTATGATTCCCTGTGGATTTTACTCCTTGTGAACAATTGTTTTAACTAATTCTTGGCCTTTGTAAGATCTCAAGAGGTGAGGATAGATTCCACATGAAGATAAAAGACACTCCCTTAAGTCATATTGCTAATTTCACCTGAGGACACTAAACATTTTCTTGGGATTGAGTGATTCACTTGGCAAAGGAAAAAACTCATTGAAGGCCATTCTACTTCTACAAGATAGCAAGCTGCAGAAATGTTAGATATTTTAACTTCCTCTATGTTTCACTGTTTTGAAACAGTTCCCAAATCAAGGCAGTTCTCAATTTATATGAGAGATGAGTCTGACAAGGGAGCACTCCTGGTAAGAATGCTTTGTAAGTTGAAACTTACAGATTTACAAATCCACAAATACTTAGTCAATGACAATTTTGAAAAGCCAACATTATGTAAGGTATTGTGGAAGGGATAAAGATGTTAACAATCAAATTCAAAGCAACTAATCTTTAAAAGGAACTAGGCTTTTAAAAAAAGCATTTGTTTTAAAACACTTTTCCTATGTATTTGACAACTCTCATAAAAATCTTAGGACAGTTATTATCATTGTTGACATTTTATAAACGAGAAAAACAGAAGGTCACTTTGAAAGGCTTTGGATGAAAATACCGGATTCTTTGACTTCCAACTTCAAATCCTTCTCACTGTGTAATCCTTAGATTGCAGGAAGTAATGTCCTCAAGAAGAGCAGACACACAATATTTCTTGGCTCCTCTTAGGAGCAATCAGTTTTTTTTTTCCTTACTGCAGTGAGAGGAGATGGTCTAATGGGGTTGTTCTAGTTGGTCCACAAGGAAGGACCAGATTTTCAATAGCACTGGGACAGAAAGAAAGGGATGATCTAGGGAGAGGAAGAAGGGACAGGTGAGCAGAACAATATCAGGGAACTTCAGATGAACAGCTTGCTGGAGGCCATGGAGAAAATAACAACAACAACAAGCGAGCAATAAGTCAAAAGATGGGTTGTACAAAACCTCATGATTGGGCTGAGGGATTCAGACATCCTTCAGTGTCAACTGGGAGCTATGCTGTAAGTATCTGTGGCAGCGTGGTGGTGTCTCAAACAGATGCTGCAATTCAACTTGTGTTTCAGGGGAATTAGCCTTGTCTTCATGCAACACAGACGGGCATAGAGAGGAGGTGAAGACCAATCACAGGAGAAACTAGAGAATCCTCCCAGGGGTCCATGGAAGAATTAATTCAGTGATCACTGAAAAGTGATCACTTCCCTCTGCCGCACTCTTCTGCCATGATGTTCAGCCTCACCTTGAGCCCCGAAGAATGGAGCCACCTTCTATGGATTAAGATCTCTGAAACTGTGAGTCCTCAAATAAACTTGTCCTCCCCTAACATTGTGCTGGTCAGATCCTTTAGTCACAGCAGAAAAAAAAAATAGGTGGTTTACCCTTGAAGGGGATAAAATAGGACTGTGACCTCTCCTCTTTCTCTATTGCTTCTCAGGTATCAGGAGCTGAGCAGCTCCCTCTGCCACACCCACTCCTGCCAGGATCATCTGTGTCACCAAAGGACCCAGAGCAATGGACCACCCAACTGTGAACTGAAACCTGCAAAACTGTGACACCAACTTTTCTACTTATAAGTTAATTATCTCAAGTTGTTTTTTTTTGTCACGATGATGGAAAGCATTTAACAAACAGAACAGTCTGAGTACAGCTGACTGATACAGAGTTCCATGTACACTACTTCCAATGACTGTCCACAACAGTGAAGCAAAACAAAATACTGATGGGTGGCCAGAGCAGTGTCTTAAGTTTGTACACTTAAAATTTATACTCCTACTTGATTTCACAGAAATAATTTTGATTATGTTAATTTCTGAAATGAAAGTTTTATTCTCCTATTGGACTTACTCTCTCCTCAATCAGCATTTTTTGCCAATAAGAGTTATAGTATTTGTTCTAGAAAATAAAAGAAAAAAAAAAGCACACCAAAGGCAAAATTTATGAGCTTCTGGAAACACTCTGAACCATTTCAACATGGGAGAGCTCATGCCTTTCATTGACTTGAGAGGAAGAGAAAGCCCAAATTTAACTAATCCACTCTCTATAGTCGTGTCAAGTAATCCAATTGTTTATCCTGAGCAGTCAAGAGGAAAGAGTGTTAAATCTAAAACACAAGTAGCACATGTAAGTGCTTGATTAGGTTTTCTTCGGGATTTCTCCAAAGGCTGAAAATTGAACTTTGCCTAGAAGCATATGTTTGGGGAGCTTTTTCTTAAAGAATTTTCCCCTCTTTTAGAAAGTCTATTGATAAACGAGGAACTTGAGCTTAGGTAACGCTTATGATTTGGATAGAAGGTGTTCTCCCAGATTTCTGCTAATGTAGGAATGTTAAGAAGCAAAATCATTAGATTTTTGAGAGCTATAATCTAATTAGTGGATTAGTTCATTTGAAGGATTAATAATTTAAAAGGACTACCGTAGTGGGCAGTAACTGTTGGCTGGAGGATGTAGGTCACTGGGGGTATGCCTTTGGGGATTATATCTTGCCCCTGGCTCCTCCCTCTCTTTTTCTCTGCTTCCTTGCCTCTGTGTCCTGAGCAGCTTTTCTCCACCACCCCTTCCGCCATGATGTTATGCCTCATATCAGGTCCAAAGCAATGGTTCAATTGACCACTAACTGAATCTCTGAAACCATGAGCCAAAATAATAGTTTTTCCCTCTAGGTTGTTCTTATTGGTCACAGCTATGAAAAGCTGACTGCCACACTATCTGAGCCTTGCAGTTACATGCTTCTGAATCTCTGTAGTTATCTCTTTCCTTTCAATAAAATAACATAGACAAGTTTCTGTACTTATAGAACCAAATAGGCACCATGTACACGTGAACAAAAATATGAGCTACTCATTGACATTTTCTTCCCACAGCGAATCTGATGCTCTGTGGCATCTCCGTGCACTTTGTGTATTCCTCCCCAAATTGTATAAAATGATTTCTCCTGTACTAGATTGTGTGTTCAAGATCAATGGTGATTTAAGATCCACTTTACATTCCTGTTACTAATGGCAGAGTAGCTGCTCTATAAGTCTTCAGTGAATCAGTGGATAAATAAATGAATGAATGTTTCCTAAACTGCTATTAACTATTATTAATATTAGAAATTGAATTTCTACCTCTAGTGCTTGTTCCTTTTGCATTCAACTTTGGCCTTATGGTTCAGAGCTCTTGTTTCCTTAGGTAAAAGTTATTGGAAGTAATATATTTTATATTAAGAATATTTCAAGAGAGTCTGAGGTTGTAGCTCAATGGTAGAACACTTGGCTGATGTGCACTAAGTACTGAATTTGATCCTCAGTACTGGAACAGAAAAGCATTTAAAGGGATTGTAAAACATATTAGAGTCATAGAAACTATTAAAATATGTGAATGGCACTTTATAACTGACATGGAGTATGGCTTCTTTGTAAGATAAAAATATTGAACCAGATTATTTCTGAAATTTGAAATAATTAGACTCTTGGGTTACTTCTAATGTTGAGAATATTTGAACTAAGAAATATAGGTTATCCTCTAAGATATAGCAGTTTCTTTGAATAATATGACTCTCCACCTTTCAAAATGCTCTATTGATAAGATATATAGTCCTATCTGAAGTGGATCTCACAGGGCTATGATCCTAGACTGCAGCATCTCAATTTCACCACCTTTTCTCTCTTACCATATTGATTTGAACAATAAAAGGAGGTTAAAATATGTAATCAACATTATTATGCCTGATCCAAATCTCACAGTTTTATAGCACTTTCTTTTAAAAGAAGTTATAAAACTTGAAGGCTAAAGACTCTCAGAGGCCTCATAACACAATTCCATCAATCGTCAGAAGTTGACAACTTTGAAACACCTGTGCCTCCAAGCTTGAGCACTTGGAATCCCAGGGAACTTGTCATCTTCCAGGTGGTCCATGGATTTCTACAGAGGGGTCTCATTGTAGGGTATCAACAATGGACCTTACAGAAGTAGTGATTGATCTGGGCAAATTTGGCCTCTTGAGTCAATACAGCCTAAGCTAAACCCTTCTCCTAAATAAATACATACCCAAACCACATTCAAAAATTTTTTAAAAATTAAGTTTATTTGTTAAGCATACCCATCTGTTCTTCAGACTTACATTCCAAATTCCATCTTCCCTCCCTCAGGTAATGTCATAGTGAGTCATTTTTTATATCCCAGCCATTAGCTTCTGAATACATTCCAATTTGTCCATCAAGCTGCTTTTAATATATGGTAATCCTATCTTGAGCACACTTATTTTCAGTATAATTGGACCAGTTCAGTGTAGGCGAACATGATGACCTCCCTCATTCCATTAATGCATCCTCTGGTAACATTACTTTTGAGGAGCCATTCATACTGATATCACTGTTGATTATGTAAATACATATTGTCACTAAGCTGATAGCCTCTGATGATGCAATTGTACACTTCATTTTATAACTACGCCAGGCTTCACATTCATTTCTTTTACATACTTTAAAAATATATTTAACATCTTGACTGGCTGAAATTTTTCAAACAACCACACACTATCCTCCAGTAAGATACACATAACTTATATTATCTTCACTCATACCATCGACCAAAAACTTGAACAGCCCCAAGGTACTAAAAAGGGACATGCAGCATGCCACAAAACCTTCTTCTGGTTGACACCAGTGTCTCTTTGGGAGTAATAATTCTGCCAAGATCTAATCCACCACACAATACTAACTTTCAGACCAGATTTATCCATGTTTTGCCCAAGGGTAAGTGGGAATTCTTGTGGGAGTTTCCACAAGCTAAAATTTAAAAATTAATAAATAAAAAAAGAAAAAAAGATTTTGTCAAAAAACAAGACAGAGAATATTTTATTATTTTATTGCTTAATCTGTGTGTGTTGGGTTAAATAGTGTTCCTCCTGCCCCCAAATCCACAACCACCCAGAAACTGTGAATGTGACCTTATTTAGAAATAGGGTCTTTTGTAGATGTAATCCTGTCTGGAAAAGGTCACACTGGGATGGGGTGGACTCTAAGCTGGACTAGTTACTGTAAAGGAGACGGAGTGTTGGGCACATTCACAATGCAGAGGGAAAACAGCCAGGGTCATAGAGGCAGAGACTGGAGTGATGCTTCAAGGGCCAAGAAATGCCTGCAACTGCCAAAAGCCCAAGGGCCAAAGGATTCTTCCCCAGAGACCTCACAGGGGTGGTGGCCGTGCTGATGCCCCAGTTACAGGCTTCAATTCTGCAGAACTGGAATAAACTTGCTTTTTAAAGCCACCTAATTTGTGGTAGCTTGTTAAGGCAGCTGTAGGAAATGAACACATGGTGTTCCAGGTGGGGGATGCACACCTGTCCCACTACCTGCCCAGTCCTTATGGGCACATCATCTGCCCTGTCTCAGTCTCTTCATTCCAGCTACCTCTCTCCCTGCTGCCCACAGCACAGTCACTGAAGTGAGGACAAACTGGCACTAGTAATATACTCATTGTCACATTTTACAATGATTTCTTGAATGGTACTCTTTCGCTTCCAATTAGATTATAATCTTAATGATGGTAAGAATTATACTTGTCCCTTTGTATAAAGAACCCAAATCCACTCATGCCCAGAGCTGGTGAACACCATACCACAGACATACACAAACCTCCAGCACCTGACTTGGAAGAACTGGGCCCAAAAAGAAAGTGATTCAGTTAGGACTAATTTGGAATAGTTAATCCTTCTAAGTGGCATTAACAAACTTCGATAGTACTTTAAAGAATATGTCACAATATGTAAATGGAGAGGAAAAAATGAAGTACAGTTATAGCTTTTAATGGGATTTTTTTACTAAGGCAAAAAATTTTAAAATGAATCTCTTCACTTACTAGAGAGAAGAAAGATCAGTAGAGTAGATGAAGGGGAATGAAAGGAGGGGAGGAGGGGGTTAGAGAAAGACAGTGGGATGATCCGACCTAACTTTCCTATGTAAATATATGACTACGCCACAGAGGACCTCACCACCATGTACATCCACAAGACACTAATTAACAACAACAACAAAAATCTACAAGTAAATATCAAAAGGATCCGTAGAGCAGAGGAAAGGGAACAGGGGGAGGGAGGAGGGAAAGAAAATGGGAAGTACTAGGGACAAGATTAGAAAAAATTATATTCCGTTCTTGTATAATTTTATCAAAATGAGTCCTAAAGCTATGTATCACTAAAAAGAACCAATGTAAAAGTATATGGTAGATAGTTTATTCTTTCTTCTTTCCCTTTTTGATGGTATTTTGTGCTGTTCTACTCTTAATTTTTTAACTGAAAGCTTTATCATAGTATTGATCTATCTATAATTCACATACTGTTCTCAGTAGATTGTTCAAAATCATAAAGTACACTCTAAAGAGGAAAGAGTGTAATCAGTAGCTCCTGATCAGGAATACTTGAGTATTCCTTAAGAAGCCATCCTTTACTTTGATCTTATGGTCCATGGATCTGAACTTTTCAAAATCAGAAGCACTCAGTAAATACAAAGTAAATCCACTAAGAACCCATTTCTCACCTAGTCCCCCCCCTTTTTTTTTGTATTTCACCTTGCAAAGAATTGAAGGCCAAAATTTTAATAAAATGGGCCAGAACCTATTCACATGCAGGAATCAGAAGGTTTACAGCCCAGCAGCACATGGGTGTTCTTTTCAACAATGATCTGCGCCAGTGAAAGTCAAGTTATTTTCTGTGGAAAAGTGAGTTGTATGCCTTGCCTGTCATCTAACAGGTCCTTTCCCTGGAATGCCACACATGGTCACGTAACAATCACACAGAGGCATATAACTGTTTCTTTTCCTTTGTCACCAAGATAACATATCCACTTAACTAGGAACATACTATTGTAGTGTAACTTTTAAAAAGAAAACTTCCCTTCCCACAGCAGGGCAGAGAGTGAACAAATCATTTATCAAACCAATGTCCTTCATCCTTGGTGCCAATTGATGTCAGGTAACCCCACAATCACAGAAATCCTGGCCTGAAAAATCAATTATGATCTTTGACTTCTCCTGGAATAAAACACTTGCATGACTTGCCACTGGACCCTTGACTAATAGTATCACTGAGGACAAGTCTTCTCAACCCAAAAGAGTTGTAAGAATTTCAAACATTTCCCTTCTAAAAAGGAATAGCATATGGTCTTCCCTCATGTGCAATTATGCACATATTGAGAAATGACATGTCTATGTACACTATGTACACTGCAAGCAAATTTAGATGAAGATAAACTTTACAGAAAAGAAAGGATTCCATTTAGCATTCTTTAGGACAGGTAATCTAGCAAATGAGTACCCTGAAATAGCTACACAGCTCACTCCACCACATTAATAATTCAATTCTCTGAGATGGAGAAGAAAACCACCAACTGGCCAAAAATAATAATGTTTGGCTCAAAAACAACACCATGTCCAATGCAGCCTCCCCACCTTGAGAGACCTGCTTTCCACATATGCATCTCCAGAGTACGCTCAAGGGTACCCCTGTTCCAGAGACAAGGGACTATTTGAATAATTGAAGCATGAAATGCAGCCTCCAGGGACAACCTCTGCCCTTGGGAAAGCAACCAGCAGTTTGCAAACTGCATGGGATCAGGGGACACTCTAAGTCAAAACAGTACGTACGCAAGAAGGAAATCCATCAATGGAGAATAGTCCATGTGCGAGAAATTGAGACCTACGACTGATAACATGGAATGGAGAAATTGGCACTGAACCCCGTTAGTCAACTTCATTCACATTCATGCATCTAAGCCGCACATAGGCGGGAAGAAGGCGGAGGGGGAAGGTGTTCCCTGCCTGGATACTACCTGCCCAAATGATTCCTGTTTAATAATTTCTACAGTGTAAGATGTTGACATAAAGAAAGGCCATCAGAGGAAGCAGTGTGAAATCAATTTGTCAATCCATTCAGAGCAAGATAGAAACATCAGGAGTCAGACTGCAATCACAGAAAAGGCACTTAAAGCAGTGCTGGATTGTACAACAGCCTATGGATTGCAGTCCCAGCCCCCAGCTCTACCTTTAAAAGACAAGGGTAGTATGTTCTTTTGTGTTTTGATACCCTGTTGTTAGAAGCCACCACTTTTCAGCATACCACAGGTAATATATGTCTTTATATTGCTAGATAGTGAGCAAATTGAGGAATTCTCTCTCTTTTTCTTCCCTCCTGTTCCTAGCACTATAACATGAATAATTTTGTTGTTGAATAAGTAAATGTATACACACTTTGAGAAGGATCTAAAATCTCCAATTAAGTCATCAAATAATCAATCAAAAATATCTGAAAATATTTTTTTCATCACATAACAGAACAGCAATTTTATGGGTTGAACAATGTATGAGGATTCTACCCAGTCATCAGCTCACCTCAGTTCAAAAATTACGATAATTAGAAAATTCTCAAAGCAAGGATTACCAAAATAAATTTATCATTTATCCATTTTTGAAACATTTATAAGAATCACAGGATAAAGCACCCTGGAGTCCTCTATCTCCTTAATCCAACCAAACAATAAAACTGTAATAATCGCAATAGATGAAAGTCTTGCCTACTTTAAAATATCTGAAAAAAATATTCTGAACAGCATTGACCAAAAAACTTTACTTTTAATAAAAATTCCTGAGACATTACTAACCAATGTAGATACATAATTATGAACAAAATGTTCACTTCATTCCATTTATAATAACAAAAAGAAAATTATGAAGAGAAAGAAAACATTCAGTTGGAAAATTGGCAAAACAAGATTATTCACTGATTGGAATACAATGTAGCCAGTAAAAACAATATCTATTCAAATTTTATAATTTCATTGGAAAACTGATGAATTAGTGTTTGTGAAACAGGGAAATGGAAGATTACATCCCCTGAAAATCTCCAAGTAATGAAAGGAAGGAAGGACATAATGTTAGATGATATAGATTTTTTTTTGTTCTTCTCGGGTACACTGCATAAAATTAAGTTGAAATAAGAAAGTGATACAGGAGAAGAGTCTAGTTTTGTGGTCCCTCCCTCCCAAATCATTGTCAAACTTGTTCCTTGAATTTTATAATTCATTATGTATTTCTAATTTAATATTAATAACTACAGAAAACATCAATTGCTTTCTGTTAAGTTGCTTTTATGTTAGTTTGTAGTCACTGATGAATAAAAGGGACATCATATGTTAATTTTTAATAATATTACTGGAAAGGAATAAGCTAGGCACTTCTGACAAAAACTAAGAAATTAAGATTATAATGTTTTAAATCCTCTATTACATAATATTGAAAAAGCAAATTTAGCATTTAGCAGGCAGGATATATATACTTGATATTGTAATCTAAATGGAATTAGCAACTTTGAATGTGATATCATACATAAAACATCTCTGACTTCAAGATAAGAGTTTGATATTGAAATATACCTCAACATACTGAAGGTACTGATCAATATTATGTTCATTACCTGAGTTAGGACATCAAGGGCAGAACTCCAGAAAATGGAGAAATACATTGGAAAACTATCCCAGAGCTTTCAGTTCCTCTGAGATGAACAGCTCATTAAAATTCCCATCAAATTATTAAATGTTTATTAAATATTTGATGGGTCAACATGCACATCAAACAACATGCTTATATACTCAAACCCTTCTCTGCACATCAATGAAGTTGAAGTTGTTCAACATTTCAGATCTCAGCTTCTGTGAAAACTGAAGTGCTGTTGACATGGCTGAAATTTTCAAAATAATCATACCTATCATACCAATGAAGTCCAGTTAAGTGTAAATATTTCCACATTCTACAGATGGCTCAACACTTCAAGGCTGTCTGGATACATAGGTTGTGTAGAACCCCATACTTGCAGGGATTGTTTTTTTTTTTTCTTCCAACTTCTTTTCTAGTGGTCAAAATATCTCACCTAAAATTATAAAGACCTCTGTTTTATACAAATGAAGATATTATTCAGATTCTGATAATCAATCAAAAATGGAGACCATTGGGATGTTTCATTTCACATAGACAAAACGTCTGGATAAGATGGTCACATAGTTTTATCCAGAGGTTCTGCATTGAGCAAATAGATGGCATTATTTACTGAACATGAGTATATCATTTTCAATTTAGGTGGAAACAGTTTTTGAATACATCGGATTTCGTTAGATTATACACGCAATAAAGTTCACACTTGGAACTGATAGAAAGGCCAAATAGTAATTTCCTAAAGGTCACTTCATAAAGAGTTTAGAGAAAAATATAAATGTATTTTCTCTGAGAAATAAGACAGATAGGAGGATGATATTTCCATCCACTGAACTGCTCTGGCCTGGGAGACCACCTGTACTGAGAATGAAAACAACCCCAGATCCTGCACCAACTGCATCCTCAGAGGTAAGACAACAGCTATATGACAACAGAGACATTTTGAATATTGAATTAACCCAACTATGCCTCAGTTTTCAAAAGAAATTCATAATGATATATGTCAGAGTCTTATTAAAATCCTGGGTGAAGCACAATTTTCTTCCTTTTGACATCACAAAATTTTCCTCCATCCTTGGATTTGTCTCAAGTAATACCCCAAATAAATAACCATCAAACAACAAAAATCCCAGGAGATTCTCTATAGACAGGGTCAAGAGTAAAATGTTCCATAATTTTTTGTTCCATAATTTTTGGCATGATTATAATTTCTCTAAAGTCTTGATGGCTATTTTCTCTAAAATCTAAAATGACAAATGTCAAAGCAGTTTATGGTCATTTCATCCCTTTATAAATCCAAGGTCAATTGCTCAATATGGTTTTATGAATATTAAAATTATGTCTTTCCCTCCTTCTAGGCCTTACTATAGCCAAGTGGCTTTTGTCATTTTCATGGAACAGATTTTCTAATGTCTCTATTATTACTCTAAATTTGCCATCCCACTTTTCTGCCAATGGGTCCCATATATCATATGCATTGCTCAGAATGCTCTGCCCAGTGGAACAACTATATGCGGAATGGTCTTTACGATGTTCATTCCGCACTTGGTCACATTTGAAAACTGTTTCTCTTTTTTTTTTTTCCATAAAACTTTCTGCTTATTCAAATAGTGATCAGAAATTAAGACTTCTTCATATCCAAATGCTCTTCACACCATTTCTACCACCATTACCAAATTCAAAATAAAAAAAGAAGACAACAGGAAATGAACGCAATAAAGGATCCTCTCTGAGAAAGAGAAACAAAGTTAATATTTCTTCCTACAGAAAATCAGGACTTAAACCTCTTTTCTTGTTTGAAACCCTGATAACAGCTGCCAAGTGGAGTTCACAAGCAGTTTCACATCAGTCATGGTTAAATGTAAATAAATCTACCATAAAAATCAGTCAAAACAAAAACCACACCATAACTTCTTTTTTTTTTCAAATCACAGGAGCTGAGAAAAAAAGCTGAAATTCACAAAATCAAACAATACTGAAATGAATAAGCATCCAGATTCTGTATTTATCAAGTGATGGTATATGTTATATATTGATTGATTTTCTGAATATTTATTGTTTCACCAACAAGGACATCATCACTTTGTGATCCCAGGTAATGACTCACAAAAAGTAAAAACTAAGGGTTTAACCAGTGGCAGAGAATGAGAGTTTGCTGCTAGATTTTCATTATTCCTTTTATTCTTCACTATCAAAACTCCAATGTGGCAAGAGTAACAATCTGTTCAGCTGAAAGAAAACATGTCCCAGATCTCTGTGCAAAGGAGTATCAACTGAGAATCAAGTGGAAGCACTGCCATTGTGGAGGTTTCTGAGATATCTCTCTGAAGGCATCTGATTTTGCAGGTGCCCTTCTGCCCTCCCTTCTCCCTCTTCTTCCAATGTGGACTTCCTGTCGGCTATGTTGTGATCTGAAATATTTTTGAGAGTGGAATTCCTACAGGGTGGTGGGAAAGAAGATAAAAAAAGAGTATGGTTTCCTGATAATATCCAGAGGTCAAAACTTCAGCTCTGGATCACCTTCCTCTGGAACTCACAAACACGGGAGAATAGCAAATCCTTTCTTGTATAAGTCATGACATTTTAGGTCTCTCACTTTCAGGTGCATACAATTCCTAATTGAGGCAATAGTCTTCTTTTTTATTAAGTGATTTTGAAGCAGGCTGCTGACCCCAGATCAGAAATACAGTTGTCCTAAATTGTTTTTCCAATACTGAGATTCGGTCACATAAAACAGACACAATTTTTAATAACTGGCCCTTTTTTAATGGAAATATGTATTTCCTAGGTGTTTCAAGCAAAAAGGGAGTGAAATTTACCAGACTATGCAGGTGTCAAACCTAAAAATTTAATCATATTATTCTCAGCAGCCACACAAATGTTTACAAAAATAATTGGGACTCTTGGGCATGTCACTAGTGAAATAAGATCTTTGTATTTCAATCCCTGTCATTCCAATCAGTGTCTTTCATTAACTACTCTACAGCTATGAGCTTAATCTCTAATGGTTAGCACTGGCAGCAAAGAAGTCCCAGGTAAGGGTATATGCTCAGTCAGGACAAGGATGCATCATATTTCATACAAAAAGGGGACTTGACTTCCCTGGGGAGACATGTGAAGAGAAGAAAGATTCCATTGGACAAAGTCGTTCCCTTGTGTCCTGTCTGGTGCCAGGGAAAATTGGATTAAATAGTTTCTGATGGCTTAATCTAGGCTAAGATTTCAATGATCTGTATTAACTTCCATTAATCATGTAATTATCTTTCCATTTGGTAACCAAATTTGCAGCATTTTAAACTAATGGCTTCTAGGGTCTGTAAAGCCAAAGCTAAAATATGACCTAAAAGGGTCACTCCTTCTCTTGGTTAGATATCAAGTCCTTCTGCTAAGAATTATTTCCTACTTGATGTGCAGAGAAACACATCCACAGAAACACCTACACCACATCCAAGGCAGAATGGCAATGCATCCTTAATTTGCATAATTCAACATAGGATGCTTTCTAAAGACTCTACAGCTGGCCCAAGGGCAAGTATAAATTATTTAAGACAGGCAGATAAATTTTAAAGTGTTTATTCTTAGATAGAAGAAATAGCATCTTATGGAAACTATTTCATTCAGAACAATCAATAATACAGATCAAAAATAATACTCATGTGTTCCCTAGTGGGGAAAAGTATAAAGCCACTCAATAGCATTCATTTGTGTAATTTGAAAAAGAAAATGTAAAACTCCATCCTCAAAGGCCTCCATATTTTTTATTAGGATAGAGAATAAATCAATTTTTTTCATGCTAATCACTGGTTATATATAGAAAATGTCACACCTTGTATTTTCTGACAGTTCTGCTTGGACAAAAATTAAGTGTGACTTTGTTCCTTGGTCCTTGTTTCAATTAGTGTGTGAATGTGCATCCCCTTTTTCCTGTCATTTATGTCATTATGATTTATCCTTGATTCGAGTTATCCTTACAATGCTGCCAGTATCTTTGTTATGAGCTTAGATAGCATGTGCACCCATGACTGGTGGCTACCTTAAAAGTCTAACTTCCCTGAACATCAACCAAGTCTTGTTCAGTTACAAAGAAATGTTACGGAGTTGGGAAGGGACCCTGTAATTGGAACAGGCAATGAAAGGTAACAAGCTAGTGTCACATTTATTGAGTTAGTGTAAATCTACTAATTGTCAGAGATGGGAAGACAGAGCTAGTATTAATTGTGGAGCATATTAGAAGCTGAAACTCTTCAACAATGAAAGCAGTGCCTCTTCTTCTCAAGAAAGTTTCCGTCTCTCTTCCCATCCAAATCTTTTTTTTTTCACATTTTATTTTTTTATTGATTTTTAAAAAATGTATGACAGCAGCATGTATTACAATTCATATTACACAATAGAGCACAATTTTTCATACCTCTGGTTGTATATAAAATATATTCACATAAATTTGTATCTTCATACATGTATTTGGATAATGATATCCATCACATTCCACCATAATTGCTAACCCCCTTCCCCCTCTTTTCCTCTCCTACCCCTCTGCCCTATCTAGAATTCATCTATTCCTCCCATGTTCCCCCTCCATACCCCACTATGAGTCTTATATATCTTAAAAGGCCATCCAAATCTTAAAAGGCCAAATCTTAAGCGTCAAATGCCATTTAAAAATATGAGCAACCTTTTATGCGATTGACACCTAGATGTTTCAGATGTGTAGAGCTGGTAAAAACTTAAAAGAGGCTCACCTACGTTCTTGTGGTCACACAACAAAACCAGATCAAGTATGAAGTGGAAGGTTTATTATTTCTTATTCTTACCACATACACCCACCTTCTAAACCCACAATGTGACTGAATCCTTTGGCTTCAGAGTGTCACTTTTCATAACACCATCCCACAAAGGAGGCAAGGCAGGGAAGAAAGAGAGAGAGCACGCCTCAAACCCCAAGAAAGCAAATGTAATCCTTTTACTGCTATTGTTATAAATATATCTTCAGAAAATTTGTGAAAAAGTTTTCCTTGATACAACACTACTGGCAGGAGAGGGACTGGTAGCATGTGGGTAAAGAGCAACTTATAAAGACCTTCAGGATTTGAGAACACAGGCATAACCTTTTAAAATGGTTAGCTCTCAGTATTGTCCAGTTGCATTTGAAATTCTATTATTGACTGGTTTACACTGAATTTCATCTGCACATAGACATCAAATTAGAAAAATCCTTAAAGTTGCTTCCTCTGGTTAACAAGAAAAATTGAGT